TCCTTCTAGCCCAAGAATTTAGTGTAGCTCAGAAACCCACATAAGGGAGTGGATGAACTTCCCAAGGAACATACACTCTGTCCCCAAAACAAAACAAGCACCCCCACATGCGCTGCCAGTGGCAAACCATTCTGATCTGCTTCCTTTCCAAGTCAGTGGGAATCCTCCGCCTTCACAGAATGAAGAGGTATGGATTTTGTTGCATCCATTTTTGAACCCATGTTTCATGGATTCTTGGGTATCTTTCATTCCATCATTCACTCATTGATGGAATCACATTTCCCCCCTTCAGAAAATTGCACCAAAAGTCCACTGCAATTTATTTCACTTCTGCTGACAAGTAATGTCTTGCAATTTTTTTTTCATAGTGCACTGTAAAATCTATGAGCAAAGAGCACAAAAAGTCAGAGAGCTGCACTCTCAGGCTAAAGAGTGATCAGAGCTATTTAGCTGCTCTCCCTCCCTCCCTCCCTGTGTGTGTGTGTTAAGTTGTATATATTAACATATTTTCCAGTCACTTTCATACACTTCATGACTAAATTTGCAGAGTTCCAGAAAGGAAGCAAATGATCCCGAAGTCCATGAAATCCACACAACTTGTAAGATGCTGCTCTGTGTGAAATCCCCAGATCAAATTCTTAGAAATTCAAAGGCATTTGAATCTGCTTTGAATTTCTCAGACATTTTGAGCACAGAACATCCTCATAATGACACAAAACGGTGCACTTTTCCACATGGGTACAGGGGGCAAAAAGCTGAGATTATCTTTGAGGCCCAAATATCAGCACCAAAACTCATGCAATGAAGGGCCACTGTTGACACAACTGGCCAGTGAGGCAAGAGGAAAAGGGAGCAGGGTTGTCATTCTGGGCCGTAAAGGCTGCGGGAAAATGGCCACTGAGCATATCTTCACAGCAAACCTGAAATCAGCCTGGGGAGAAAGGAAGCACCCTTTCATGGCCATGCTCGTCTCCATAATGACCAAGGTCCTTGGTCACCCAGATGCTCCCCTGATGCCAAACCTGGGACTGCGTGTGTTGAAACTCCACTGGTGCCTGCCTCCCAGCTGAGGCCAGGAAAGCTGGCCATTTCCTGCTGGTGAATTGTGCCCGGCTTCAAAGACGGCGCTGGCCTGGCAGACGGGCACTTGATGTGTGCCAGCTCATGCGTTTCACCGGGGAAGGCTGGCAGCCCCGTGTCAGGAGGGCTCCACATTCAAGAGAAAGGGAGTGTCTGCTCTGGCTGTGCCTCTCATGAAGAAGTGGGTGCCATGGCAAGGCATGCGTGTAGCCACTGCTGAGCCCCATTCCTGAAACTGTATATGTGCTTCAGGTGTCACTGTCATGCCCTCTTCCAGCATAACCCTCCCATCTTCTCCCACTTTCTTCCATCTTCTCTCTTACTGTAGAAAAATGTCTTAAGGAAGAGAAGAATGGAATCATCTCACAGTGCCTTGTCATGGTCAGCACTCCATCTGGATGCCCGTTACGACCGTGATGCGGAAAAGAAGGGGCAGACAGAGGCATGGAATCAGAACTTTGAGCATGTATGTCTGCCTTGAGCAAAGCACGGTCCAGACGCAGGAAAACCAGATGAAATCTGTAAGCATGCTCATCAGTCCAGTCTCAGACTGTCATGGGCTGCAGCAGGCCATGGGCTCATTCCCCCTCCTAACCCTCACCCCGTCCTCCTTGCATGGAAGCAAGAGCTGTGGGAGCCACATCGCCAAGGCCTGCCTTGCTCCCAGAGTAGAGATGAGGCTGTTGCTGCTACAACACACTTCTGGGTGAAGGAAGGAAGGGATGGGGTGTCAAGGGGGCTTTGTGCATCCTTGGAAGAGGAGGGCATGCAGACCTCCCGGCCTCCCTCCTTCGCTTCCCTGCCTTTGTTGAGAGTGGCCTGCCATCCTGCTGGAGTCCCTGCCCAGCAGCCCCACTTCCAAAGAAAGTAAACCTACGAGTATCACAGTCCTTGGCAGAGGAGAATTTAGCTAATGCCTTTTTATTATGGCGTGTGTATTTTTATAAGCCTGTTTTCATATAACTTATATAAGGAGGACTCAAGAGAAGACACTTCTCTTCTGCAAATCATCCAGAGTGCATTTCTTCTCATGAGTCACAGTTCCCCCTCTTGTCCTTTACAGCTCAGCAGAAAGACCTGGGTGCTTCTTGTTACAACAAGAATAAATCTTCTCTGATACAGTCAGCCAAGAGCATAAGGGGGAAGTGAAGCCAAGCAGCAGAAAGTTGCCGCGAAGTATTTGTGCCATTTTGCATGAAGTGCTTTCTCTGTCAGTCTTAACAAATTTTATAAAATGAAAGACAGAAAATATTGCAGGGAAGGCTTCAAGAGGGTGAAGGGGGTGAATATCAGATGGAGGGAACATTGGCTGGGCTGCTCTGATTTCAGGGTGGAAATTCAGGAACAGATTCTCCATGCCCTCTTGCATTGAGTAGGGGGCTTCCCTGCCGCCAGATGTTGCTCTACTTCCAAACATCTAAACTTTCTGTGTAGTCTGTCCTCTTGCCCGACTATAACGCCTGCTTGTCCCTCATTCTTACCACAATAATGTTGATGATAATGAGGCAATGAATCCCAGCTCAAGCACTGCACAAGGCTCATCGTCTTCCCCAAATGATGCTTCTTAACACGCTTCTCACTTTATCCACCAGAATTCTTCAGCTTTTGAGGGAAAGTCTGTTGCTTGCAGCAAGTGACTGAATGCATTTAGGGATATCTCTTTTTGCAGGACATCCACCCTTTGGTAAAAGCTTTTTGTGCCCGAGTTTTTTACATTTAACTTTTCAGCCTGAGCATTTTACACTGTTAAAATTTGAATCAAGCTCTTAGAAGTGTTTACTTCAATACTGAAGAGATACATATTTGAGTCTTGTGGAACCTTAAAGAATATAAAAGTTGTTCTGCCATGGGCTTATCTGGTTCACAAATGATAGTATACAAGCCTTCATGACAGGCTAATTTGGCAGGTGCGTCTGCTACTCCGGAATTTTCTTCCAAAAATGTTCATTTGAACTACTCAGTCTGGAAGGATTGATGGAGTTTTGTCCAGGGAAGCGAAGTTCATGGAAACAATGGTGGGTTTTGGAACAGTGGGAGGCACACATGGAATTAAGTGGAAGCCACAGTCAGATGGCACAATTCATTGGAAAGTTTGTCTGCAGAACCCCCCCCCCCCCCCCCCCCACACACTCCTTTCAATGAGTGAATGAAGGAGGCAGTTCCCCCAGATCAGGCCTAGCATGTCTGGTTGCTTTTAGGATGCCTGATTGCACAAAAGCTTTGCTGAAGCTTAGAGCAGAAGTGGTAAAGAGTGTGCAAGTTTTCACAGCCAATACCAGAGGGGGCTTCCAAGTAGAGACGGACTTCTTGGATCAAAGAAAGTAAGAGATGGGTGTTTTCCCCCAAATGATGTCTCAGAAAGCAGCACAAACAACCTCCAGTTAGCAAAAGAAGACAGACAAAGAGAAAGGTGCTTGTCTGCGAGGCCAAACTGCAAGCTGAGAGTCCAGGCGGAAAATGGCCAGAAGTTCCACCGGGTATTTTGGCAACCGGTGAGATCCGTTTGCTTTCCAGTAGCATCGGAGGCGGCCGCCTGCAATCGGTGGGTGCAGAAGGGGTCGCCGGGAGCGGGCAGCGACGGACAGTTCCCGTTGGCAGCTGAGCGCCCGATCCCCGCAAAGGGCCTCCGCCGGGAAGGCGCCCACGGGGTGCGGGGCACGGCGCTCCGCCAGCGGCTGCTCTCGCTCGGCCTGGGCCGCGGCGCGCTTCGTGCCGCTGACGGCGGGGACGGGGCGCGCGGCACGCTCGCTAGGCAGCTCCGGGGCGCCCGGCGCTCCGGCCGCCTCGACGCGCGGCACGCTTTCTGCAGCCGGGCATGCGGCGCGCTTTGCCCGGCGCCGCCCGGCCCAGCGCCCCGCGGAAGAGCAGGCGCCCCGGGGCCGCAGGGGGAGGCCCGGTCGACAGCCAGCTCAGGCCCCCTGGCCTCCGTTCCAGGCGCCGCTCCGCGGCCCAGCGCGCGCAGGACCCGGGCTCGGTACTGGCCCCGGGATGCTGCCGCGCTCGTCGTGAGTCGGGGAACCGGCGGCGGCGGCGGGGGGAAAGGCCCCTGCCGACAGAAGGGAGGCGCGCGGTGGCGGGAGCGCCAGAGCCCAAGTGCGTCCGGCCTCTCCTTCTCCCCCTTCCCGAAGCTGCGGGGAAGAACGACACGAGGCGGATTTATCGATAAATGTTTTATGCGAGTAGTAAAATATTGGCTGTAACATAAATAAAAACGGGGCAGGAGACGACGGAGGCTAACAAGAGATCAACCCCGCCGAGGGACTGTGTAGTGGTGGTGGTGGGGGGGGGGTCTGGGCCCGGCCCGCGGGGAAAATAAATAGGTCGGTCGGTCGGGACCGGCGCTCGGCGGCCGCGTGTCTGCAGCCAGCGGGGCGGCTCAGTCGGAGGGCCAAGCGCGTCGGGTCCTCGGCGGTGCTCGCGAATCGCGCTGCCGCGGCAGTGTGCGAGCGGGTGGGCACCAGGTCGGCTTCACTAGCGAGGAGCCAAAAGCAGCTCCCGCCAGACGCAGCTCGGCGAGGAGGGGAGCGGAGCAGCCCACCCCACCCCATCGCGCCCCACCCCACACCTTCGCGTCCTGGGAGGCGAACGGGAAGGAACTCGCCCGCGGTCAAACCTTTGGCCCGGCGTTCTCTCCCTCCGGCGGCTCCACGTGGCTGGAAGGGGGGCTTGGTGCCTCCGAGGTTCAATAAATACAGAGCTTTAAATTAGGAAGAGCGGTCGCCGGCAGGCAGAGGAATGAATCGGCGCCCCTCTCCCGCCGTCGCTCGCCCGGCCGTCCACGAGATACCTCTGGGAGCCAGGGCGCGTGCCAGATCGTCCGGGAAGCGCGTCCCGGGCTCTTCGCAGTCCGCGGAGCCCAGTGCGGCGAGTGCTCGCGGGAGCCCCGCGACCGGCCGGGCGCTCGCCCCGCGGCGGCTCAGTCACTGCACGGCCGCGCTCTGGAGCGAGTGGTGCAGCGGCGGCGGCGGCGGCGAGGCCTCCCCCTGTGAGTAAACGTCCTCCATGGCGGGCGGGTGCGGGCCGCCCGCGGGCGTCATGCGCTTCTCCTTCTGCCGTCGGTTGCAGAACCAGACGCGCACCACCTCCTTCTCCAGCTGCAGCGCGTCGGCCAGCGACGTGATCTCGTGAGCCGAGGGCTTGGGGCACTTGAGGAAGTGGCTCTCCAGCGCGCCCTTGACGCCCACCTCGATGGAGGTGCGCTTCTTGCGCTTGCGGCCCTGGGCGGCGATCTTGTCGAGGCTGGCCGGGCTGCCGGTGCTCGAGTCGGTCTCCTCCAGCCACTTGTTGAGGAGGGGCTTCAGCTTGCACATGTTCTTGAAGCTCAGCTGCAGCGCCTCGAAGCGGCAGATGGTGGTCTGCGAGAAGACGTTGCCGTACAGGGTGCCCAGCGCCAGCCCCACGTCGGCCTGCGTGAAGCCCAGCTTGATGCGCCGCTGCTTGAACTGCTTGGCGAACTGCTCCAGGTCGTCCGAGCTGGGCGCGTCCTCGTCCGACGGCGGCTCGTGGCCCGGGTGGCCCAGGTGCTGCGGCGAGCCCTCGAGGTGGGCCTCGGACGCCTCGTCGTGGCCGTGCGGGACGTGGCTGTGGGGCAGGTGCAGCGCGGGCCCCTGCGGGCCCAGCATCCCGTTGAGGCCGGGGTAGGCGGCCTGCGAGTAGAGCAGCGGCTGATGCCCGCCGGCCGTGGGGGACATGGCGGAGGGGCAGCCCCCCAGGTGGTGAGCGGGAGCGGCCTGCGCCCAGTGGCCCCCGCCGCCGCCCGCCGCCTGCTGGTGCACCAGGTGCGAGCGCGAGTGGAAGCCGCCACCGGCGTCGAGGTCCCCGCGCAGCCCTGCCCCGCCGCCCTTCGCGTGCTCCAGGTGGGCCCCGCCACCGCCCCAGTCGCCCGTGGCGCCCGGCAGCCACTGGGGCGGGAGGCTGCCGATGGAGTGTCCGGGGGCGGCGGCCAGGCCCTGCAGGTACTCGTGGTGCATCATCTTCTGGACCTCGCGGTACGTGGCGCCCGGGTGGAGGCGCTCGGCCTCCGCGGGCGGCACCGGCAGGAGAGGGCTGCCACGCGGCAGGTACTGCGCGGCGGCGGCCATGGCTGCGCCGGGTCGGGTCAGCTGGGCCGCGCTCGCTCCGCGCCTCTCACTGGGGCCCCCTCGGCGGTGGGCGCGCTTTAGAGTCCCGGCTCGGCCCCACGCGCGGCCACTCCCCCACGCGCGCCCCATTGGCTCCGCCACCCGCGACTGGCAGCCCACACCGCACCCCCATAGGGCGCCCCTGGCGCAGGGAACCGCCCCCGCCCCGTCTGGCGGCGCCGGCCCGGGATTGGCGCGGGGAGGAGGGGGCGGCCCTGATTGGCGCGGGCGGCGCGCCGGCCGCGCCACTTGCCCAGTCCGCGCGCGGGAGCAGCGCCGGCACCTGCTGGCCGCGACGGGGCGGGCGCCGGCCGGGCTTCCCGCGGCTCGCGCCCGC